AAGGGGGGAAGTTGGAGCAAAACGCCCGCCGGACAAGGGAACCCTTTGCCCCCCCCCCCCCCCCCGCCCATGACCAGGGATGCCTCCACTGATATCTGCTTCCTCCAAGGATTGAGTGAATGACTCATTCTTTTATATGATTTTTGAGTCTAGATTATTATTGCTATATTGATAAAGCAAACCATGTGTTAAGATCTGACCCAATCTGCAGAGGGTCTAGGCAATTAGAAATTATAAGTTGTATTACAAATTCTGTACTACGCTACTTACAAAATTGTATTACACTGATTCTGCTTACAGAAACCCTGTGCTATTCTGATTATAAATTCTACGCTATGCTAATCAAAAAACCCTGTTAGGTAAATAAAGCTTTAATTGTAACTACAATTCAGTGCCATCATCATTCTGCCAAGGATCCCTAAAAAAACCTGTCTGTCCCCTTAGCATCATGCGACAGTTCAGAAGCAAGAACCTTTAAGTTCTTGGCAGTATGTTCCACAACAGCACTATTTCCTTATTTAGCTCTGGGTTAACACCATACCTGTGTGACATACTGAGCTGGAAGGACTGCATACCCGACATTTCCTGTGCCAGGTGCTGGTGCCAGTACAGTGCCTGGTGGGAGGTTAGTGAGGTTGGGCTGTATCTGTGGCAGTGGAGTGGCTGGCATAATAAGTCTTTGTTGAGGCTGACTAGTAGTAACTATCTGGGAAGTTGGGTTGATCGGTTTGGGCACCACCTGGAGAGAAAAGAGGTATTTATGAAATCATTGTTTTGTTGATTCAGAATGTACTTTTATTAATAGACCATTTCATTACAGTGCTGAAACTGGACTTGTTTTTTTCCATCCAGCCAAAATAAATCAGGAATATGCTTTTTACATTTAGCTTACCTGTTTCACAGTCTGTGCTGGCACTATGGGAACAGACATCCGCACTGGGGTCGCATTCACCACCACTGGCTTTGCTAGCATCAAGAAACAACATCACATTAACACACACTATTCACTCAAAGTTCACAGTTCAGTCCTCCAGACTTTCATATGTGCATAACGCAAAGGTACTTAATACTGCAACTATGCACTGAGATTAATTTACCAAACTCATGGCACATTAACACTGAAGTCTAAATAACACCTTTGTAAACAGGTATTTGGCACAAGAGTGTGTGCACATGTTTCACAGCAATGGCTTAAAAACCAGCTTGGGTTCAGAGCTCCTCTGGACACTGGATTTCCTTTGGCAAGAGGAGAATACAAAAAACACAGCTTAGTTTGAAATCTTTTATTCCATCCCAGCTCTAGAAAGCATGGACAGAAACATCTGGTGCTTCTAAAGCATTTTACATGGAAGGATCTTCACGTTGCAGGAGTTTTGGCAATATGTTTGTGGGCTGCCCTGTCTTCATACTTTTTATACAGAGGATCTGGGACATGCCACGAGTCACCCACAAAGCCGATAAACTAGGGAAAAGCAACCTAAAATGCTCCAAGAATTCAGGCCCAACTACAAAGCAAGTTGACACAGAGGAGCATTTCCACAGACAAACCAAAGGTAACAGTAGAATATGAAAACCAAGTACATCTAGCAGTCTTCATAGATCTCTTATATACTCATTTTAATCCTTACAAAACAAACACAAAAAACCCCCAAGAAAGTTACTTCAGACAATATATTAGCACAAGCACTTACCCTGTTGAAGAGGCTGTGTATTCGTACTGGGATTTTGACTGGCCGATTGCGTTGAACTATTCGCTGTTGTGGCAGTAACAAGTCTGACATAATGGAACTTGCTTCCAGGTACCTGAATCTGCTGAACATTGGGTGCAGTTGCCAAGGGAATAATTGTCTTAAATTGAGATGTACCCACTCCTCCTACAGTAATGGTCTGCACTGCTGATTTCACAGCCTGTTAAGCCAACACAGACAGCACAAAGTTACTTGTACAAAGGCAGAAAAAACATCAGTGTGTTTACTCCTGAATTTGTTAGCGAGCAACTCTTTACTCCATTTGTATCCTTGAGAAGCAAGTCAGTTATCCCCATTTTTGCTTTCAAGAGTAAAACAGATGCAAAGAGATTAAATGCCTCTCAACAGCTCAGAGCAAACTCAGCTCCATTTTCAATGCTCTACACCAAACACCAGAGTAAACTAATATTTACATGAGTGGGGTGATTCAGTCCACTTCCCCAGATACAATGTCTGCCAAAACCACTTCAGGTGACTACAGAGAACATTACTCAGTTTGTATTCAAAATCAAGCAATGAACAAACCTAAAAATATTCCTACTAATAAAAACATGCTGTAAGAATTTGCAGAACTGTTCATGCTGGACTGTGGCATGATTTATCTCTGGGTGTACAGTTACATCCTGTTAAGACAGTTTGCAATTAATACACAGAAATCACTCTGCAGCCCTTGAGAAGGAAATGGAACAGAGTCCATAAACTGACAGCTGAAGATATGAGAAAGAGGGCACAAGCTGTGAAACGAAAGCAGCAAGAACAATGAAGAGTAACAAAACAAATTTATTCAGAAAAAAAGCAAAAAGGGAAAAGAAAGGGAGTTTGGCAGACCTGTGCTACCTCACAGCTGGAATAAAGGTACATCTGGAATTTGCAAGACTTTATCTTTCCAATTTCTCTCAAACTACAAACTGGTAACAAGCAAGTGTTTATTTTATTTATACATATTCATAAGTGTACCGGTTTGATAACAGCCTCTTTTTCCAGCCTTGCTGACAACCTCAAACCTTGGTTTATTCCTCCTTTTTCTCCTTCCATCTAACTTCTTTTGGAGGTCAGCTTTTCATTCTTAGTATCTTTTAATATCAATATTAAATGTATCATTGTCCTTGGCATTAAGTTTCAGTATTAAATTTTGTTGATAGTATGATGTGACTTCTTATTAAAACATTTTCGCAGCTCCCCAGCTTTCAGCGACTATACAAACGAAATCTCAATTTGCACATATGTCGCTGGAAATATAAGCCTGGTCTTTTAAGAGGTGTTTTCTTGAGAATTTTTTTTTTTAATATACTGAAACCTCAACAAGCCAGAGCAATTCAAAATAAGCACTATCTGCAAGCACAGTCACAGCCTAACTGTTATCATAGGGACACCAGCATGGGCAAAGTTCCCTCTAGCACACAAATTAGTGGCTGCCATCCAAGGACAACTGGGAAAATTGTAAAATTCAAGTGACAGTTCTTCTAGGTGCATGTACTTGAGCCCAGTGATGACAGGTGAAACCCTTTTGTTGTGTCAGACAGCTCTCAATCAGAACTCAGTACACGTACCACACAGCCATCTCCGTTTTGTCACTTAGGGTGCCTGCATTAGAGTGACATAACCTTTTAACAACTGTTTCAAAAAGACAGTTTTGCCAGTTCTACTCCGGAAAAAAAAAATTCAAATCATGCTATTGTCCACATCCACATATCAGCATTCAATTTATCACCTGTATTGGTAAGACAAGACTGGCAAAATCTGTCCCGAGTCTCTGGTCTCGTGCTGTACATGCAGCTGTGTCCACTCCCTGCTACATCCACTCTGGTTATTTACACTCATATGCATCCCTTCATGTTTACCAAAACAGGAATACAGACATTAAGATAGAAAAAGATTCCCCTAAGACTACAAAAGAGGAAAAAATAAGAACCATGGTTTGTAAGAAAGGTTAGTTTTGCATTGTTATTCATTAATGCAAATCAATTTATCAAAGCTATTATGGAAAACCCTGATATTTTTCTAGAAATGAGACACAGGAAATTAATAATTTCTAATTCTATAGGTCTCAGACCATGGTGTCTTGCTTATGCAGACCTCTACCACAAGAACATGAACTCCATTGTTGCAAACCTCAGAAACACCTGGAAAGCAGCCCTACATAGTGGCATGAAAACACTGGTAGAAGAGAGAGAACTACCCAAAGAACTCTTCCTCATGCCATAGGGAGCCTTTCAGATGACTTGGGAGATTCAGTATACAGGGATGAGAACTTGCACCAAGCAGGGCTTTCCAGGTTGGAAAGCTGCTTTCTAACAGCATGCCCTTGTATGGGCTTGCAATGGTTTGCACCCCTCGACTGAAGAAGCACATGCTCCTCAGGGCAACGCTTTTGCCAATTCTTAAGCAAACACCATTACAAGAATACCTTGGGACCGACCACTGCCAATTTGCGGTTCAACACTCCAGTTTCCCGCAAGCAATGAGACAGAGACCGGCTAGAAGACAAAGGAAAGTCAGTCTGTACCTGGGCGGTTGTGTGGTTGACTATAGCCTTCCCAGGGGAGGAGGGTGCTGACTGCTGCACTGTGAGGATCTGCTGTCCTAACGCTACATTCAGTGGGACGCCCACCGTCTTCTGGGGGGAGTTGGGAGGCTGGGAGGCCACTGACACCACTGTTAGCTGCTTGGCAAAACAAAGAAGCAGTTTAAATCTCTGCACAGGATAAAAGACCCTGTACATATACATTCCCCTCCTTGTGAAAGTACAGTTCTCCATCAGTACAAAGAGTTCTTTCTGTGAACAAGGGTGCTGTATTTTATCAGAACTCACATGGGTCCAACTGTGCAACAGCAGCACATAGACATGTTAGAAACTTCAAGACATTGCTGGTTTCCAGCACCAAAAGGCCCCTGCTGAAAGCTAGCACAGCTTGGATTAGTTTGTTTCTTTCTTTCTTTCTTTTAAGGAAACTAGCCCACTGAAGCCTGAGCACTGTCAGGATAGAGAGCTGGTGGGGGCAGGAAAAAAAAAAAATCTCACCTTACACTACTCATTCAGCCAAAGTATAAGAACATCTGTATTTTCAAATCTACTTTCCAGATTCCCATAGAGATCCAGTCTTCTGACCACATTTCTGCAGGGTGCAGTGTTTGACTACTCTATTCTATATAGTCACACCCCTTCCAAGGTTGGTTTTCTACTTTTTGTTCTAAATTTCCTTCATGTTTTAAGAAAACTCCCAATTTTTGAAACCATTTCCTTTTAAAAGATACTTAGAATTACTTATCTACAGTAAATTCCTTAGGGTTACATCTTGAGTCTTTTCACTCCCACTTATTGTTAATTTTGATTCTAGATTTATATATTTTTCTTTTTTACTTCTTCCTCATGTTGCTTCCCTCACTAATAATTCTCAAACACAAGTCCTTCACTCCATTTGTACAACATTACATAGCTAAAGCATGGCCTAAGAGTATTCTTCACTCTTAGGCTACTTTTTAAACATGATATTTAGCTTGCATGCACTATGCATCTTGCTTGCTCCCCGACTCTTCCTTTCTCCAGCAATATTCCTCTTCTCAAAGACAATTTTACCAAATCTAAAATACAAGCGTCATCATGACACTCGTCTGTAACACAGCTAACGATGGATGAGTTACGTTTTCTATCTGTTGCCCACCTGTGCCAATCTCCAGCTCTGTACTTGTCAAGGACCATTGCAAACCTCATTTACTTCAGACATGATGAGGGAAGACTAAATTATCTATGCAGTAGCAGGAAATGGTTAATAAGTGCTGACCTATTAACATCATTGAGGTCTCCTCTTAAACAGCCCGTTGATATTTTATGAAGGCATTAAAAAAAGATACTGTTTAAGCACTTGGCTAAGAGAGAACAGGCTGCTCTCGGAACAGATGCTTAGGGAATGGCAAGAAATGGCAGGAATAGGAAATATGCATTACAGCATTAGTTTACTTCAAACCACATTAAGAGAGCCAACTGCAAAAAAATCTAGCTTAGGCCATTGCTGCAGAGCATTGCGATGTGCAGTGGAGACCCCGGAGCGGCAGGATCATAAACAGCTTGCAGCAAAGACAGAGAGCTCCATTCAGACCACTGTGCAGGAGGGATAGAAGGCTGTAGCCAGAATCAGGGCCTTACCTTATTAGGGGATTTGAGTGGCGAGATAGCTATTTTATTCGGTGTCTGTTGTGTTGTTGTACTCAAAGATGATCCAATGACTCCACTCTCAGAGATCGTTATTGTCTTTGGTGGCGTTCCTGGAGCAGACTGTGAAAGAACCCTACCTATAAACAACAAAGATATCATCAGCTCAAGTTATCCCCGTTTACATTAACATTTAAAGCAAAGTTTTCTCTGCATATCATCCAACTGATCCCTACTTCTGAGAGTATTACCTGGTAGGAAGGACATCGGCATTCTTTAAGTCAGGTTTAGCAACAAAAAAGAAAATAATTGGCATTATTGCAAATAAAAAAGACAGTTCATTCGTGCTTAAAAAAAGCCAAAATGCACATTGAGCTTTCCATGACATTCAGCTGAAAATTCTTTAAAGCCAGGACAGCATCCTGAGGTGCACAGCCCTCCAATACACCTGGGCTGTGCAAGCACCCAGCCAGCTGGAAGTTTCCTAGGAACTTCCTGGGCTGCTGCCAATGTGCAGAGAAACTGAGCATCTGAGGGGGGCTACTTCCTTTTAAAACCTCTGCCATCAGAAACAAGTTGTGTTACAGTGACCAAGAGAAAGGTGTTTGGTCTGTCTATGCTCAACTCTAAGTTTTTTGGGTTTTTTTTCCTTCTTCCTTCTCTGTGTTGGTTGTTGTTTTTTTCACTGCCTAACAGAATATATGACACTCCTGTGAAAATATGGGTGGTGGTGTAACTCTACAATCTATCTGCTTTTACAATGGCAAAAAAGGTTAAGCATCAAAACCAGCAGCTCCAAATCATGAAGTCAACCTTAGGAATATTGCAAAACTCCCAGAATGGAAAACAGATTTTTTTCTTTTTTTTCATACTTCTAAGTTTCTTTCCAAAGAGTGCTTGACTACTGAGCTTTCCTCTGCTGCACTTTAGCTCAGACTCATTTCTGTCATAGCTTCTCTGTCACCCATTCTCTTGTACTACATTTATCAAAATAAGAAACAAACACGCATCAGCATAACTTTTCCATCCAAAACCAACCAGTGGCATGACAATTAAGTCAACTACAACTAACACAAAAAAGTATCATCCTCACTGAAAGCCGTCTTCCTCTGAGGTGTACATGCTCTAAAATAACCTTCACTTTTGTGCAGCCTAAGTAACAGTGCAGATAATTGCCAGCAGCTGCTAAAGCCACATGCAACCTGAAAAGTGTCAGAATCTGTGGAAATTTTACCATCTACAGTATTCGATGCTTTGAGTTTGTTTCTTTCTGGTGACAGCTTTCCCTTTCTCACTACATCCCCTCTGCGTCCCTTGGCATCAGCTTCCTAAACAGAATCTGGCTGCTTATATTCACCAGTCTTTCAAATCTACAACTTCCACCTCAGTTTGCAGAAATTCCCAGGCAATTAAAAATATTTATCAGATTCATAAAAATACACATACGAAATCAAAATGCAACACACAAATGTTACGCCTTCCCCCAAATGATGCGAGCCTCTCAAAGCCAGCAAGCTGTGCTAGCTGTTTGAGATGGCAAGAGGAAAAGCAGATGTTTAAAAATATTTCCCTCTCAATTAAAGAGGCATCTTTACCTCCTAGTGATGCTTCTCTCACAGGCTCAAGGACAGGGACTCCTGATTTTCCAACGTATTTATTTAAAAGCTAGAAGTTTGTTTATTTTGTAACATACCTGCTTGTCAATATTACGTAGGCATGTTTTGATTTGGACATTTCCCTTCATTCTGGAGGCAGCAAACTTAAAAACATACTCTTGTTAGTATTATTTTTGTTGTGGTTCCTTACGATTTACCAATTTTCCTGTATTGCCAAGATGAAAATATAATGCAGCTCCAAGGGGCTCCTTTCAGGGTTTTTAAAGTTTTTGAGTTGGGTTTTTTGTTTGCTTGTTTTTTTCTTAAACAAACAGCTTAATTCAAATATTTATAAACACAGTGAAGCAATCTTCTTATTCACAGGTCTGTACATTTGGTAGGGAATTGTTTGAGAAAGGGGAGAAACTGGGGAGTGAGATGGGGAATCCCTCTTTCACTTGAAACATGAATCAGGCTTCAGGGTGCACGCAGCCTGACAACTCAAGGAAAAGATTACATTTCAGTTATGTGCCATTCACTTCTATCTATCAAAGTTTTGAATATACGAGACAGTTGCATTCATTTTTAAAACCAGCTCAAGTCCCAGTTCTGTAAAGGCTTTGTTTATGTGGAAAAAGGATTTTAGGCCTACTTGGGTTGGTCAATCTGGAACCAGTTGAAAGATACCTGTGTAAGCTCTGAAGACAACTCTGGCTTCCTACATTTGTCCTTTTGAGATAATTTACACATCTCAGATGTTACCTGCGTACATGCAATGATACATTTAGCAAGGGACACATCAGTCCCACTGCCATAACAAAGAAATGACTACACTGTGGTTTTTTTCTTTGATTTGGTTTTGTTTTTTTTTTTTTAAAGGACACAAACATAGATTTGTTTTCCAAAGAGACGAACCATTTCTTATTTGCCTTAGTTACTTTCTTAGACTCTTCTGGAATGCTTATTTTTGAAGTAGGTGAGGGACATCACAGAAGCAACACAGCTTTATTCACTTTTTTTCATGCAAACATTTTTTCTGTTATTTGCATGTATTACATTTAAGTCCAACTATAAGCAGATTAAAGTAATACAAGAGCATGTGTCTCCTTTTTCCCCTGTGTACTTACATATTGTATCTAGAAATACTTTCTATGAAGTAGCCTTTTCTCTGTCTGTGAGGTATTTTCTTCTCCTCCACAAAATGCAGAAAGTAAAAGCATCTTACAGTAAAAGCAAAATGATCAAACTCTACAATCACAAAGATAATTCTAAACGAGCAAAGTGTAAAGGTACCAACAGACAGAAAAATTTCTAAAATCACCACCTCTTTGAACAGCCTGTATAAAATGGTAAAGCACAAGTCAAAGTAGTACAACCTGCAATGACTGGTGACACTTGAGTGGTCTGCCCTGTAACAGCTTTGCTATTGATTGGTTTTGCAAAGATCAGCTTGGTGATCACCGGGCCAGAAGTTGGGGTTCGGGTCTTCTTTGCAATCTGAAAGATGGAGGAAAAAAGATCTAAAGTAACTTGAGCATTTTGGATCTAAATTATTGTATTGTTAAATACATTAGAAAATAAAAAGGGCAATACTTGCACATATATAAATAGAAGAATAGCTGCTTATCTCGCATTTCACCTCCATTTCTCACTACGGAGAGAACCATGCCACTTTAGAAAACCAGCCACCAAAGTATGATAGCCAAATCCCTTACAGCTTTTTTGTAAGATAACTCTCTGTGCAAACACATCTCACCTTCAGGATGCTGAAATTATTTCTTACATGCCATTGGTCTATATGAAAATGTTAAAATTAAATACACAACTGTTAATATTTGAAGCTTTAAAAAAAGTTACTTCTTTTTCAGCCAACCAGGACAAAACTTGTTCCTTGAGTGATTTAAATATGACAACTACGGTTCTGAAACATCCCTTGAGCTATTCTGACATAGCAGCACACTTTTATCCTGCAAATGGGAAAACAGCATTCTGCAACAGTTCTCAAAGTACGTGGATCATCAGTCCCTGAAAGTTTTGGGTACCCACTAGCCAAGAATGAATCAGTTGGCTACATCCAGGTACAAGGGGGTCTTTTTCTCCTTCTGTGATCCAGTCTCCTGAAACACAGCTGGACCAGGAATGTGTATGTACAATTCAATAAGACAGATCACTTCAACTTGAAGTCTTTATAAGCAGGGTTTTATAGTCTTGAAAGTCTTAAACAAGATTTCTTCCTCTTTTCCACACTGACAGAAGTTAACTACCAGATGCATTTATCCTAATAGTTTCTATATACTGGCATCCAGCCAGTGAATAGTTCAATTAAGAGGCTGACTTCTTTCAAAGACTGTTTTAACCTGCTGACTGCAGAGGCTGCCTGCAGATGTGGACTATTGCTAGGATTTTCCCCGAGCCCAAGTGAGTGTACCAGAAGGCATTACTGAAGCCCTTACACTTACCCACCCCACAGGTCAGGCCCACACGGCCTCTCCACCACATGTACAGCCACATCCCATGGGCACCAGCCACCAACTCCAGCAGTATCAGAGAGGCACAACATTGTCATTCATGTGGGGAGCCACCCCTCAAAGGCAGAGAACCACCTTTGTTACTCAAGTAGCTAACTGGAGAAATCTCAGTGACATGAAAAGATACAGAGATGACAAGCTACTTTTAACAGCCTGAGAAAGTTGTGAGTGCTTAACTGAAGCAACTGAGTAGGCTGAATGTTATAGTTTCCTACACAAAACTCTATTTATAGAATTTGCTGACTGAAAACACCTCCTTTACAGTAGAGTAACACCAAAACATTCAAAGTATTCAGTAGCACATAACTAATTCCCCAGCTGCCCCACAAAGGGCACACGTGAGGCTGTTTCAGCTCCCAGCAGCACACTCACAGCACGGCTGGGGAAGCCAGAGCTCCCCCCTGCTATGGCACTGGAGCCCTCCAGCCTCCAGTGGAAAGCAAACACTGCCTCCGCATGCCTGAGCTGTGCCCAGCCAAAGGAAGCCAGCAATGAGGAGCTCTGACACTGGGCAGTGCCAGAAAACAGACCTCATTTAAAGGAAGCCATGTGCTGCTCCACAGTTACAGTACAAGTGTTCCTCCGAGGAAACCTCCACCTCAGACCATTGAGAGGTGAAGGTCATTTGCCCAAATATGCTGTACCCAGGCCACATTAGCTGCTTTACAGGTGGCATACAATAGTCAAGGCTTAAAATGAAACAGAGAAGAAAAAAAACCACTCTTTTGGGAGATATATTAACTAAAGCCTTGAAACATAAAGGCTTGTTTGAAGAAGGAAGCTTCATTCACATCCCAGTTTACAAATTTAACTCAAAGCCGTTTTAACATTTCAAGGATTCAGTTCTCTTAGCACATACACAGCTGATAGATGAGCAGACATTTTATCAGTAAATTTTTTGCAAATTTTCACACATTTTAATTTCTGATAAATTCCCCACATTTCACCTGCTTGATTTGAGATTCCCTTTCTGCTGAAATTAATCTTACCTTACAATACCTTATGGCAACTCAACTGCTATTGCTTTTACTCTCTGAAGCGAGGGCAAAGTCTGGCTCATAACATGATCAACATCCAGCAGGAACAGCCAGCTCTGGACAACAGCAGTCGTTTCCCAGTAACAGTCAATAAATGCGCTTAAATGACTTACACGAGTACGTGTAAAATACTAGCTACCCATTAACATGTATTTCAGAAAAAAATGTAAAAGTCCCAAAACGATAGTTGGTCAACACAAGTAGCCCTGCTTCCCTCAGACTCAACTTGCAATATCCTCTTCAGATAAATTCCCCCCTGCTTTTTGGGTGAACTGTCTGTCCACAAAGAAGGAGGTCTAACAATGTGTGAATCTCCTCAGGGCTTAGGAAACATGGCAAAAGTCAAATGTGGTTGGTTATAGGTGAGGAACAGCCCTTAGCCCCCAACTGCAGGCAGTGCACTCCTGCTCTTACTTGCTGCCAAGCGAGCTTTTCTGAGGTTTTTGCCACTGGAGCTGATAACCCCAGCCACCTCTAAAAGCCTTCTAGGCATCAGTGGGAAACTAACTACCCACTTCAGTAGAGACTGGAGAAGCCAGAGGGAATAATCAAGACGCCAGACCACCCCTTTGATGCTTCAGAAAGAGCAAGTTCTCTGGAGCCCTCTGCCATTGCCTGTACTCATCACAAGAAGCTTAACGTTATTTCTCTGCCTATGTAAGCTAAGCATGCTCTCTGCAAGTTACTTTGAATTACACTGCAAAAATATTTCTTGGTGCAACAAGCTCTTCTGTAAGAAAATTATTATATTTAGAAACACACACCAACCTTCTCCCCCCTACAGAGATTTATCTCCCCCTAAAGAGATTTATCTGCAAGCATCTTTATTTAAAGGGTCAATTTGTGTCTTCCTAAGCACTCTCCACTAAATAAGATGAACTAGCAAGTTTCTACTGCTGAACTTTGTTTTCAGCTGTCAAACAGTGTTCTATTCATACAGAAAAAGGCACATGCATACCTCACATTTACTGCTGGATTGAATACCCACATAGCCAGCTACCACAAAGGAGCTAACATACTAGAAATCCACTCCCTAGATGACTTCATGGGAGCTTGTCCATGTAGCCATGCCCTATGTAATTTATATTTGGCATAATATGAAAAATCAGGGACTCTAGAAATAGAAGAGGCAAACAGTACACTTCAGAGAAGATGAAGAAACTGAGCTGCAAATGGGAGTTTGCTCTGAGGTTAGGGAGTGCATGAGGTCACTTTTCCATGATGAGATGAAGCCACAATGATGGCTTAGCAGTTGTCTTGCCATGGTAGCAACAATGCTATGGACACATAGATTTAACTGCTGAAACACAGAGCCAGTTACCACATCAAGACACATTCAAGTTAAACTAGCTTGGTGACAGCAATGGCAATGGGTCTGGACGCCTGGTTGAGAGTCATCTGCAAGGCCAAACTCCTGCTTAGTGCACTTGGACTAAAGCAGTACACCAGCAGGCACATCACTGTTTTTAAGCCTGTACACAGACAGGAGCCAGAGGCTGAAAGCAGATGCACTTGCCCAGTAGTTTTGTCCACACATCCAGGGCAGTGGTTTCAACTAAACTGGGACAAGCTGCCAAGGGACAGTAATAAACCTCTGGATATAGATGAAGCCCAAGGCCCTGCCACATTTACACCCCACAGCCTCATACTTCTAAAACTGTAATCAGAGAGGGAGCCAGATTCCAAGGAACATTTTGCTCAACTGTATCAATTATGACTTTTCTCAAGTGCTGAGATTTCAAATGTCACAATTACAGCAAGGCTAATTGAGTTTTTCTAATGACCTGCAAATTCCCCATGAAAGTGAGGATGTAAGGAGAACTGAAGAGAGTTCTTTGTCATCTAATCTTTTACTAATTCACTTTTCAGCACCAAGTCAAACTGCTGTGCTGCCTTGCATCTGAAATACCCGATTCACGAAGACATAAGAGAGAAGTTACACAAGACCCTTGGGAGGCAGAGAGGCATTCACAGCTTCCTTTTCCACTCACTGAAAGGTTAAGAGGCTTGGTTCTGGCCTGAGGATGATGGGGTAAACGCATGACTTCATTTTCTAAGCCAGGGACTCAAGACATGGATTACCTCCCCTGTCATTCATGATAGGGTAGACCATGAATCTCTTGCTTAGCCTCATATATCTGTCTATCAGTATCTATTAACAAGCTTAGCTAGATTTGAGGCAGACAAGATATACCTTTCTGTTCTTTTTCAAATGCTGGAGAGTTTTTTCAGAGAGTTTATCTAAACAAACTAAACATAATAAGCAGACACTACTCTTTCATAAAGGAGTAAAGCAGCATACACTTTGAACAAAGAACAACAGGCATAGAGTTCTATTCAGTCTTCCTGAAAGCACGTAGAATTTATTTTTATAAAATGAAAATAATGGGAAAATTCTCTTAAAATTTCCTGAATTTTAATAGCTCACTTTCTCTAGGCAAATCCTAAGTTTCTAGACAGTAGCTAGAGGTAAATGGCATAAAATGGTAAATGCATCCACAGATGAAAGCATGGGCTAAGAGCAGCATTGTATTTTTTAACAGAAGGAATAAATGCAAAGGTTGAAAGCAACTGTGTGTCAATCAGTGAAGGAAATGGACAACAGTTGCAGCAACAAAATTGTTTTTAAGATGTTTCATTAACATAACTCACTTTACCTGTACTGTTTTTAATTGCTGGGTCTGCAAAACAGAAGACTGGGCTGCAGTGTTTATCAGCTGACTTCCTTGGGTCAAAGCTGAGACACCAACAACAGGTTTCACTTCTGACCGACCTCCAATAACAACTTTGATCTGCTGGCCTTGTACCTTGGAGTCTCCACCTTGGGCTTGGGATGTGGCCTTCTGTGCCTGCGGGAGCTGGCCATGGGGTAATGCTAAAACAATAGGTTGGCCAGACTTGCCCAAAGTTGTTACAATTAGCTTTTGCCCATCTGGTTTAATACTCTGATTGCCTATTTTAATATCAGCGGTCTTGTTCAGAATAATTTGATTGGCTGATATAGTGACAGGGGTCTGAGCACCAATTTTATGGAGGCCACTTGGAAAGGTAGGCTTTACTACTGCATTCACATCAGTTTTTGGGGTTGTGGTGTTCGCTGTCGTGTCGCCTGAGTGATTGCTGGGTGCAGTAACCGATTCTGTGGTGACTGCAGCTGTAGTCGTAGCTGAGGAGTCGCTGGTGGAACTTATGTTCACTATTTCTTCCAGTTCTGTTTCCATGGGAATAGAATCTCCCATTGGCGACGACACAATAACTGCCTCAATGCTGTCGTCTTCCACCAGAGTTATACCAGTGTCCATTATTTCCTCAGGGAGCAAGCTGTTGACTTCTGCTGAAACCACTTCCATTTTAGCAGTCGTGGCAGTGATGACCAGAGCAGGTACTGCAATAATATTTTAAAAAGTTATTGGCTTCCAGAAAGCATACATTTTCAAAGCTTTATGAATAGTATTACCAGAGAAGAAAATATAGTAGCAGAATTTTTTTCAGACTGAAGGTATTGTGCTCGCACAGGAGATATATAATGAAAAAAATGTTTTCAAATCATAACACATTAAGCTGAATTTACTCTCAGTAAGAATTTATATCAAACCTCTTCAACATCATCCACTGAAGTCAGATCAAGGCACTGACTTGCTGTGGATTACCAGTCCACTCTTGACAACACAGTACACAAAGAAGCAGTGTTCCCCCCACAAGATACAGGCACCTTGTTCAGACATTTAAGCTTACTGGAATATAAAGCAAGAGTTAAACAGCTTTAAAAAAATCCAACAGATGATAATGGCATTTCATATACATGTCAACATTGATTAGCAGGTTATCGTGCCTCAAGAGACTTGTTATCCATACCAGATTTAACAAGTTCATTTTTGCCAAATCCTCATTTTGGAAATCCCAGAAAAAACAAACAACTGTCTAGTGATGGGCTTTAACAACCCCACAAGCTCAATCAACAGCCCACCTACCCCAGGACTGAGCCAAAGCCCTGCCCTTGCAAGATGAACAAATAATTCCTCTATGCTGGCTGTGAAAAGAGCAGTTCATTATTTTTTTTTCTCAATACTCACAAGAAAATGTAATGGCCAAATTCATGATTAATTTGAAACGTGTTCTAAACACAAAACAAAGAACACCATGTGAAAGAGAACAGATTTTTTTTTAAGCTGACTAATAAGACTGACCAATTTATATTAAAGAAAACTCAAACTACAGTGAGATTCAAAGCCAGGGTCACTTCCCACTTGAGAAATCTTAAAGACATTGCTGGAAATGGTCATATCTACCATTCCCACTAAAACCGCATCACTGTCAGAGGCTGAAAACAGATCAGTTTAAGGCATTTTCCCCACTTGCTGACCCCATCAGCATGCTTGGGCACTGGACAGGCAAGCACACTGCATGGGTATGTGTATATACTCTCGAGTACTCATTATAAGCTCAAGAAGACAGTATCCTTGCAAATTCAGTTTCCTACTTGCTAGGAAAAGCATAGCGAGTTATTCATACTAAGCAACATTCATAATTAAGGAACTGTGCCACTAAAAACACTGACCAAATGCTAAGGTGACATTGATTCCTCCAGAGTCATTGTGGTTCCATTTTGCACAGCAGCTAACCAGAGAACAGCTGTATTTCACCCATGAGGTAGAAGGACGGGGAAAATCCCCTGCTATAATCTACCTAGTTTCCATGCTGAGCTCCGGAGGCTGTGCTGGAGCAGTCCATGGCCTTTCTGATCGTGAAGGGTGCAATCCTGATTACCCTCACCTCCCAAGTACAAGTCGTATCAAACTGCCATAATACTCAAGAAGCCCGAGCTGTGAAAGAACTTGTTCAGATGACCGACAGTCAAACTGACACACAGCTCACTTACTGGCAGGCATTTAAAGATACAAAGTTATCTGATGTCACTGCCAGAAATACCTGCTGTCAAAAGCATTTCTCCCAAAGTAATGCCAGTACAGCTTGCAGTGATGCCAGCCCTGGTAAGTAGCGCTAGACAAAACAGCTTACTCCTAAGGACACATTAGTAATAGTATCACACTGCTGTCTTAAAGTCAAATTGGTTAACTGTAGACAAGATTACACAAAAATAGGAATAGTAAAAGCAGACTTTTCAGCATGTGTTAAGGCCACCAGCTCTCCTCCTGAGCTATGTTGGCTTTATTGTCTCCTCATCAACCTGCATGTGCTTGTGTCTTAGATCTTACAACTTCGAACTATTTTGGACAAAAAAACCCCTCATCATCCTGTTCTATACGGACAAGCACAAGGGGCTGGATCCAGAAGTTAGACTCCTAGGGTCAACCACAATCCAAATAATGATTGCCTCCATGTTTGAAAGGAGGGAATCATCTAAATCAGACAGTGGAAAAATCACCAGATTCAGTAATGACAAATAATTTTAAGTTACTTGCTTTTGGTTTGCATTTGTACATGTTATTCCCTAAAAGGTCATTCTTAGTATCTTTTAACAGTATGACTATAAAGTATTTGCATATATTTAAGTAGTTATACAGTTCAACAGTTATTTATATTGTTCATTCTTACCATTTGGTTATGTTATAAAGCCGTAAATGGTTATTAAATACCTATATCTAGTTGAAAGGATATTTATATTAAAATGCACAGAGTCAGGGTTTTAAACAGCATTCTGACCTCAAACAAACCACCTGCAAGTCAGAAAGCAGAAGGAAAAGAAACACACTACATTCAAAACTGGAACAAGAAACTGACAAGTTAAAAGAAAAGAAACATTACGCATGGTTACTGGATTAACAGTTTACAGCCATCACATTGGAAAATTTTAGTTATTAGGTCTCATCATTTTACAGTTGGCTTTCATTAATGCGTTCAGGCTAGTGTCATCAACAATAGCAAGAAAAGAACCACAACACAACCCACTTGTTCCATATCTTCATTGCTTATTGGATATGACTGAAAGGTACAGGAAATGCAACAATGAAAATCTCATCCTAGCTATATGAGAGGCTGCTGTCAAAGGCAGCTTCAACATCCCAGCAGATTTTACTTCTAGATATTTAGCCAGGATTTCTCAACAGTTCAGATGTTTATTTTTTTCTAATGCTTTTATACCAAACATGCAGTTTTTCCATTTTTCTAGCTCCTCTACTAAAGTGATTTCCAACAGCAAAAGCATGCCAACCTCTTAAGATTCTAACAGCTTTGAGATCTTCAAGATGGAAGAATTGTTTTAACTATTTAAAAAGACTTGAAAGTTTCCTTTGTTTCAGCAATTAAGCTTCGAGTCTCTTGATAATGCAAGAGCTGTACCTACAACCCCCCCAAAAAAAACACATCAGTAAGTGTTTACAGTTATTTAGCTCAAAACCTGAAGAAAAAGTCTAAACCAAAGAAGTGGATAAGCACACTAGCAGACTGGGGAACTCCACAAAAATTCTAGGATCAGATTACTACATAGATAATTTTAGCCTACAAAATAATGGCCATACAACTACACTAAAAGCTCAAGAAGTTCACATAATGAAGATTTGTTTAGAAAAAAGACTGTCCCAGCATAGCTCAGGACACCCAACCAGCCAAATATATATAAAAAAGATTAGGGACTAAAGCATATCATCAGTGATGTCTTGGAGCAACAACTTTGAAAAATACGGAATACTGTTAGGAGGACAGGGAGAAAAGCTCATCTTGAGTGAGCCACCACTGATCATCTTACCCACAGCACAGATCTCTATGCTTGATATTCACAAAGAAGAGTCATAAAGGGTAAAGGAGATTTATAACAGAGGATGAAGAATGCCATCATTGTTGGCAAAAATACAGAATGGTGTCTGACAGGTACCTCTGAACTTTGATCTATTTTTCCCTTTTCTGTCACTAGTATGTCAGTGCAGAATCTTTAAGAAACTAACACTGTTAAAGTGTTGAGATTGATTACATCAACACCTTTGTTGATAAAACATGCAAAGCAGCCACACTAAACAGGAAAATCAAAAGAATCAATAAAATAAAGCACACTGATATGCAAACAAGTAAACAAAATGCAAGACATAACAATGCCTGTATTTTACAGTAACTAACTTCATCTTACTACATCTCCAGAAATGCCCCCATTTCACTAAGATAAGAATAGCTAACCTTCCAGTCTGCAATCATGAACAGTTCAAGTGCAGCACTTACATGAGGATATGTTACAAAATCATCAGCGAGGTTATGTACTGCAAGGAAACCTGTTCCAAAATTCAGATTACTCAGCAATAAGGCTGCTGAGACCAACTTTACAGGATGTCCCGGGATGATGCTGCATGTTAGCAAGATCATCACAATGAAGCAGCGGATGAAGGGACTCGTCACCATTTGTGGCCCCGTTAGCAGTCCCTTTCCTGTTCTTAGTATACAGCACAGGCCTGGTGGCACTCAGCCATGGGAAGACTCTGGTATAACTCGACAGGTTCAAGAACATCAGACCTGCCTTAAGTCATTTGCAACATTCATTTTAAACTAAATTCTGAAGTGTCGCTTTCACCAGAAAACAGGCAAATCGAATCAGTAACAGCTTTTGTATGAGCACCTATCTCGAAGTACAAAAACCCCCGCCCCCAAATCAAAAGCTTCATAAATGCATTAAGTCCAACATAGCCCCTAAAATAGCAGGGATTCTCTTGGGATCTGTAAAACTGTTGTTGCATGCTAAGCAAATGCTAACTGAAACCAAGTATCTTTACCAGATACAGCAGCTAGTAGTTCTTTAAAGCTGGGCTAGATGCACACACTTGAGCATAGCATTATTAAGAGCCAGCAAGAGGAAGTACTTTCAACTTCCTGAGCTAGGAACTGCAAAAACCCTTAAAAAGAAGTATGAGGAATGACAAAACACCGCAAAAAATCCCTACCCTCAAGAAGTCACCACTGGGTGATTGTCCAGGAGAAAAATCACATATGTGAAACTAGTTACTACATCACTAACCACAAGAAGATGGAAATATGACCATATATTCATTATTTCAATTTTCTTCCTGAGGGATGTAATGCAGGATACAGTTTTGCAGCTCCCCAAAAACAGAGAATCAGAATCCTTGCATTAACAGACTTCTGAGCATCTCTACACACCCTTGGTGCTGCAAAAGGCCAAGTCTTTGGAAAGCCAAATATCAATAAAGTTAAGAAGACATTATTAGCTTTTAAGAGAATCAAGGCATATGCCTAATAATGTGCAAAGTGTAAGGGAGAACACCAATAGTTGCAGTATCTTTCAAGGGTTTACTAAACCGGGTGGGCAGGAATGAGGCTGGAAACTAGGGTCAGGTGAATGGCAGAAAAGTAATAGTGGACAACCTAACAGGTAATTGTTCACCACAAGTACAATGGATTCTAAATGCAAATGTATGGGGGAAAG